AGCAGGCTCTCCTGGACTTGGTTTACACAAACTGTGGGCCCACAGCCCAGAAACAGATGTGGTGAGGGTACCCACTCCTGCCTTTCAATGACCAAAGCCTCTGCCAGCCTCACGGGCTGGAGCTGAACCCCAGTTCTGTCACTGCAGGTCACCAAACATGCCAGGCCTTGGTGTCTGAGTCAATGAAATAGGGGTAAAGATATCTCACTGACTGGTTAGCGTGGAGACTATATATATAATAAGCAGAGGGCCTAATATCCACTTATTCAACTTGATACAGGTCAGACAGGGTGCCGGGAACCAGGGCTAGAGGGCCCACGGCCTGGCCCACCATGAGCATCCGGCCACTTTGTCATTCCCTTTTTCCATGTTTCTGCGATGGAGGCCCCAATCATGATGCAAAAACAAGGGAGGCACCAGAAGACACTTCCTCGAAAACAAGAGCAATGATTATTGGTGGGGCCAGTCCCGGTCAGCCACTTGTGCCCACATACCCATGCCAGGGGACACAGCGATCCCGGAGCAGGAGGAGCCAGGCAGGGGCTGGGGACAGCAAGGCTGTGGGCAGTGGGGTCTGAGCGAGGAGGACACCCACCCCAAAGGAAGGGCAGGTGCCAACCCATGATGAGCAGGAAGCTGCTACCCCCACCAGGCCATCCCGTCACGGAGAAGGAAAAGATGGAGGAGCAGCTGGGAGACCCTGAAAGGTGGTCTTCCCGCCTGTCTGCCCCCAGACTCACACATGGGGTGGAGGGCCATGCTAGGAAGCTGGCTCAGGGCTCCTGTGGAGGCTCCCGGAGCTGAACCACCAAAGCTGCCCCATTCGGAGAAATCGTCCAGCAGCTGGGTCGGATGCTCAGAGAACCAGGCCGTTGTTGCCCACCTTCTGCACGCCTCGTAGGGCAGGGATGGAGTGGGCACAGGAGCCGCTTTGGTGAGTGCCCTCCGTGCACGTGATCTCAGCTGTGCCCCTCAACAAGCCCACCCTCCGGGCACTGCCACCCAGTTCACAGACGCAGAAAGAGGGCTCAAGGACCCTCCCCCAAGGGCACCCAGCTTGCACCCCATCCAAGCTCCTTCTGTCCCACCGTGCTGCCTCCAGTATCTGGGAGCCGGGACCAGGTGGCACTGCCCGGATGCCCCGGACAGGCTGGTCACGCATCAAGAGAGCTGACCGGGCACTGGAAGGAAAACAAGGGGCCCTGACCACCCAGCGCCCTGGGAGCTCCAGGGAAAGCACCACCTCTTTTGCAGACAACAAATGCACGCAAAGTCCGAGGCCTCACCAGCCAGGCTGGGGGGCTGGAATCTGCAAGAAACCAGTGCTACTTAGAACTGAACAAGCACAAGCTCGCCAGGGGCTTCCGAGGAGACAGGCTGACTTGGTATGCCGGACACTGACTCATAAAATGGGAGGCACTTGCGCCCGGGCAGAGTCGACCAGCGCTCCCCAAGGCCACCTCAGCCAAATGCACCAGAGATATTTTGTTAGGAAGATTACAGACTGAAATGACAGCACCAAAAATAATTAATCTGTGAGCAGATTTTATTTAAGTGTTGATTCATGGTTGTTCTATAAGCCAACAGCCCGTCAGAACTATAAATTAACGAGATAAAATGTGGTTGGCCCTCCATATTTCAGGCCGGGTATTGACGTTTCAGAATCCACAGATTTTTAACTGTATTGATTGAGGACACCAGGATAAATGGCCTTGGCGCCAAATTCCCATTAGCGACAATGGGCACCGAGTGACTAATTCCCAGAGCGCGGCGGTGAGAACGCCCTGCGTTGCCTTCTCCTGGCAGGAAGTTCTAATTAGATTGAAATGAAAAAGCCAAATCACCAAGGGCGGAAAGAGGCAGATCAAGTGAAAAGGAAGATCAGACTTGGTGGCGAGAAAGGACAAGAGAAGTCAAATGAGGTCGCGAGCCACGGGGACTGCTCATGGAGAGCATCCCTGCACGCGCTGGGCCCGGGCACGTGGAGCCCCCAGCCCACCCCGCCGCCCCCCTGAACCCAGTCCTGCCCGGCCAGCGCCAGCTTCAGCTCAGCCTCGTCCACACACCCTCTGAGCAGCTGCTCCAGCTGGTCCTGGCCAAGCAACGGAGACCCAGAGACCACCAGGACAGCCCCCCCCAACCCCCATCTCAGGGAGCTCCCACTCTAACCAGGGGGGACAGACCCAGAAACCACAACAACCCCTCAAGAGGAGAGGCCCCGTCCAGGGGCTAGAGGGCTTCCCCAAGGGGAGAGTCAAACCCCTGGCCCCAACCTGCCCCCCTCAAGGAACAAAGCTCGTGCATCCTGCTCACTGAAGCGGCCCCAGCACCAGGTCCTGTACACAGCTAGTGCTCAATAAGTAACAGCTGAATGAATGAAAGGAGGCCTTCAACAGGCAAATCAGGTGGTGAGCCCATTCCCAGCAGAGGGGTGCAGAGGAAAGTGCCCCCTCACCACCCTAAGTGGACAGCAAGACCCGGGGTGGGGTGGGGTGGGGCCAGACCTCCCCCGTCCCACCCCACACACCACAGCTGGAGGAGCAGACCGCGTTCCCTCCAGCAGGTTCCAGCACAGACCGGGCGGGGCAGGCACATTCCCCTCTTGCGGCTCCCACCCTGCCGAGGGTCACACCCACCACCAGGGAGACCTGCCATGACTCCCTTCTGCTCCAAACTCAGCAGCGGTCCGCTACTGCCACCTGCTGCGGCAGCCCCTAACGCGGCAGGCAGGACTCCCGGAAGGCCTGAACACGTCCGAACCCCCCACACTCGCTCACACACACACTCACACCCAGAGACCATGGCAGGGCCTGTTTAACATCTGTTGATTGAGGAGATAGATCATGACAAAGGGCCGCCGGGAATCCACTAATGTTATCAAACCAACTTATATTTGATTAACCCAACAGCACCACCTGCATGTGACACTCATCCCATCGCCACTCTTGCGCGGGCGACTGCGTGGGTGCTCGGTGGCGCTGGTCTGCGGAGCAGACACGTGGAAGGCGCGCCCCACGGGCTAGGAAGCGAGTGGAGCCGGAGCTCCCGTTCCCACATCCCCGCCTCACCTACCCCAGCTCCCTGCACCCCACACACCACATGGTTCGAGCTCCTATGATGGGTCCGTCCTCATTCCATCCTCTGAGAACCAACTTCCCTCCTCCTCCTCACCAGCCCCTCTCCATCCTGACTCTCTGTCTCCCCTATTCCTGCATCAGCTTGGGCCCTGCTTCCTCCAGGAAGCCTTTCTTGATCTTCTAGGCTACATGCGCTTGCAGTTCCTACATCTCAACTCTGCATTGTTCTCTGGGACTTTCTGCACATCTGTCTCCCCCAGCAGATGGGAGCTTCTCCAGGGTGGGTCCTGAGACTTGTTCACCTCTGTGTCTCCAACACTGAGCGCGGCGTCCTGGACCCAGGGGCAGCACAGTGTAGCAGTCAGGCCACCCACCAGCCTCGGAGCCTGGCAGGCCTGCCGTCGTCCTGGCTCGGCCACTGCCTGGGTGTGCCTCTGGGCCTGCCTGACAAAGGGGACTCTGGGGGCACCAGTCTCAAGGGGGGAGTGGGGCCTCACCCCGAATGGAAGGCTACAGAAGACCCGGCACACAGTAGGTACTTGGTGACAGTACCTCCTGCTGTCGTTGACGCAACGGACACCAGCACTCAGCGGCACCAGACTCCCAGAGCCGCAGGTCCCTCTCGGCCCAGACAGGCTTCCAGGAAGGTCACGGTCTGAGGGGTGCACACACCCAGCACAGTGGAATGGGCATGGGGTCTGCAGTGGCACAGGTGTTGCTCCAAACCCCACCTTCCATGCACCCCTGGATGCCCCGAGCCAGTCCCTCGCCACTCCGAGCCTCAGTTCATCACCTGGGGAATGGGGAGAATGGTGGCTGGCAGGATTGACATGTCATATGCAAAGCCTGAAACACTGCACCCACTGCCCTCACGGCTCGGTCAGAGGCACTGCGAGGCACCCACAAGGCCACCCCTGCGCGACCCAGCGGAAGACGAGGACCCTTGGGGTGAGGAACAGACCCGCTGCCTCCGAGACGTGGGGCAGGGCGAGGGCCCAGGCTCTGGGGGTGCCCACCCCCTTGTCTGATGGACTCTGGGGGTGCCCACCCCCTTGTCTGCTGGGCTCTGGGAGAAGCCCGGGCCCCCAGCGCCTCCCCAGCTGGGCCAGGCGGGCAGGGGCGTCCCGGGGACTAGTGTGAACACAGGCCTCCCCTCCTGGCCCTAGCAGCGGTAGCAGAAAGTGAGCCAGGAGGAAGTCAGGGAGGCACCAAGGGCAACCAGCCTGGGGTCAGGGGGCGAGGCTGGCAGCCAGCTCCGTCCTCACCGAAGAACCACGGCCAGGCCCATGGCGCTCCAGCACCCGCCGCCCAGGAAAGCTGGCGAGTGGAAAAGCTCCCTCACTAACTTCTCTCTCCTTCTCGTCCCACTTGTCAAGCACCCCAGCCAGCACGAGTCCATCTCAACCAGAGGCCTGTGCAGGACAGGCATGGAAGCAGAACTCGTTCGCAGACAGACTTCCCTTATGAGCTGGAATCATTCCTTACAGCCTTTCAACGGTAATGAATTGACAGAATTCTAAACTGATTCCAACCAAAGGACACTGTGATAAAGCTAAATCTATTTCAGTACAAATTGCATGTCAGAAGTTGATTAAAAAGCCACCTCTTTATCCAGCCCTGCAGCTTGGGGCTGAGACAACCTTGGGGCTCTGTCCTCCAGGCGAGTTGGCCGAGGTCCACCGTGAACCTCTCTGTGGCGAGGCTCCGTTTCAGCCAAATGGCCTGGAAACACACTCACTGAGCTGCGTCTCCCCTGATCCCAGGTGCCCCAGACCTGAAAATGTCTGCAGCTTGTGGCCGCAGGATTCCCTCCCCCACGCCCCAACCTGGCCGGGAGAAGCCCCCCCCAAGAGAGAACAATGGCTCAGCTGCCAGCTCAGAGGAGGGGGGTGCGCCTTGGGGGAAGGATACAGAGAAACACACCTGTTTCGAGGTCTGTGAGGTGCAGGGCGAAGTCGAAACCACCGCTGAGGATGCGCCGGCCGCAGGGGGACCACCGGGCAGCCCGCACCGCCTCACTGTGCAGGGAGTAGGTCTGCAAACAGCTCCCCGAGTCCACGGCATTCCACACCTACAAGGCAAACACAGCGCCAGATATCATGAACAGGACCCCAACCTCAGAGGCTCAGCTGGGCCCCTCTGCACGGGGGGAAAACGATCCCGCAGTGGAACAAGACTCCCGATATTTGACCATCCAAACAGTATCTAGATATGACATTCTCTTGGTGGAAATATAATAAGGCCTTGGGACTGGCAAGTCACGAGGGAGCCATTCCCAAAATTTTTTCTGGGGTTAATGGAGCCCTCAAGGAAACAGCCGGTCCCATGTCCTGCCACGCACCTGCCCAGCCCTTCATACCTGCTTCACACCTGCTCACCACCAGAAAGTTCCAGCCCAGTCTTGCCTGTACCTCTGACATCTGTCCTCTGAGACAGGACTTTCTGAGCCCCACAGTGGACATGGCAGCAGGCCAGGCCATCTGCATAGGTCCTGCTTTAAGACTGAGATTCAAACTAGAGCCTGCCATACTGGTGCCTGCAACCAGGCCAGGAGCAGACACCTGCCCGAGGGGCACACTGTCCTTTATTCTGGGAGAGAAAGTACCATCCCTCACTGGCCCCCTGCTCTCCATGGAAAGTGATGCTCATGGCAGAAAGCCCTGTGTACACTTAATGACCTCTGAAATGTGTTTTTAAGCCCTCAAGTACAGAACTGAACATTCCGAGAGCAGGGACCATTGGGGTGTGAAAGAGCTGCATTTGGCTTCCCACCAGCTCTTGCAGCAAACTCCGCCAACCACCATGAGCCCCTGGGGAAAGGCTAGCAAGCAAGGAGCCTGAGCCAGCTAGCCCAAGGCCTGACACAGGCAGGTGCTTGACAGTACAAGTGTCCACCGTCTCTGGTGTCACCCCAGGAAGAAAGGGACACTCTCGCCGGCCCTCCGAGCTGGGTCAGAGGAGGGAACACAAGAGGGGGAAGGCACCTGCTGTGCCTCCCATGTGACGCTGCTGCTCACAGGTCATGCGACTTGGCCAAGAGGCTTGGCCTCTCCTGGCCTCAGTCTCCACCTCCATATAATGGGGGTAAGCAGGGCCCCACCCCCGGGCAGCAGCGGTGGGGAACGAGAGAGGGCTGGGCACGCCACATTATGCCTGGCGCCCAGCAGGCGCTGCGGTGCTGGAGGCTGTGCTTTCTTGAGGCGTGTAGAGCATGTGGTTTTTAACAGCAGGAGTCCCTGACCCTCTCTTATTTCCTTAATAAGAGTAAACCCAAAGCATGCCCACGCGCATCCACAAACTGGATGTGAGCAATAACCTCCCCTGTCAAGATGAGAAAATTCACCCTGTCACATCCTGAAGGTTCTCAAAATGCGCACGATCAGAGTTCTGAAAGCGTTATTTCCTGGGCATATGTAAATGTCTAAGATTAAGAAAACAAGAGGTCGACAGTGGCCTTCAAAGGATGTTAAGAGAGCTCAGTTCCTTTCTTCCTTGTGAGGGGTCAACAGCTGGGGTTTCAGACTGAAAAGCAAAAACCAACAGCATTTACATTTAGAAATATGAACAGAAATAACAGAGGAGGCAGCCAGAAGACTTCAAAGTGAAGTGGGAATTCATGGTGGAAAGGCAGAGCACAGGAAACTGCTGTTTTTCCAAAACTATGTACAAGTATGACTTGAAAAGAAAAAATAAAGTAAAATTAATGAACTAGATCTACAGGGTTATAATCTTGAATACATAAGACAATACACACTGCTGCATATATGCAGTATGATGTCATCTAAGCTTTAAAAGCACATAAAAACACCACCTCACTTCCATCAGAATGGCTTCTATTATTTTTTAAAAAAAGGAGAAGAAGGTAAGTTGGCAAAGATGTGGAGAAATCAGAACCTTTGTACACTGTTAGTGGAAATGCAAAATGGTCCGGCCACTAGAGGAAAAAAGTATAGCAAGACCTCAAAAAATTAAACATAGAATTATAATATGAACCAGCAATTCCACTTGTGTACATAGGCTCAAAAAAGTAAATCCACGGCCTCAAAGACATATTTGCACCCCAATGTTCATAACTGTTGGTAGATGGGGCTGTGTTCCCTCCCTATAGTTTGGCCTGAGGCCGAACCATGGTAGGGGTAGTGGCAGTAATGGTGACCTCCTTCAAAAGGGCTAATGCCAAAACTGTTGTATTCAGTGCCCCTGACCCCAGAGCAGCCACTCAACCTACACCTCCACCGGAGACTCACACAGGCAAGTCTGATTCAGTCTCTTGTGGGGTCACCACTCCTTTCTCCTGGGTCCTGGTACACACAAGGTTTTGTTTATGCCCTCCAAGAGGCTGTTTCCCCAGTCCTGTGGAAGTTCTGTAATCAAATCCCACTGGCCTTCAAAGTCAAATTCCCTGGGGGTCCTCAGTCCCTTTGCCAGATCCCTACGTTGGGAAATCTACTGTGGGCCCTAGAACTTTCACAACAGTGACAAAAATCACTGCAGATGGTGACTGCAGCCATGAAGTTAGAAGACGCTTGCTCCTTGGAAGAAAAGCTATGACCAACCTAGACAGCACATGAAAAAGCAGAGATGTGACTTTACCGACAAAAGTCCATCTAGTCAAAGCTATGGTTCCTCCAGTAGTCATGTATGGATATGAGAGTTGGACTATAAAGAAAACTGAGTGCCGAAGAATTGATGCTTTTGAACTATGGTGTTGGAGAAGACTCTTGAGAGTCCCTTGGACTGCAAGGAGATCCAACCTTTCCATCCTAAAGGAGATCAGTCCTGGGTGTTCATTGGAAGGACTGATGTTGAAACTGAAACTCCAATACTTTGGCCACCTGATGCAAAGAGCTGACTCATTTGAAAAGACCCTGATGCTGGGAAAGATTGAAGCCAGGAGGAGAAGGGGACAACACATGATGAGATGGTTGGATGGCATCACTGACTTGATGGACATGAGTTTGGGTAAGCTCCGGGAGTTGGTGATGGACAGGGAAGGCTGGCGTGTTGCAGTCCATGGGGTCGTGCTGCAGTCTGTGGGGTCACAGAGAGCTGGACACAACTGAGCAACTGAACTGGACTGAATGGTCATAGCTGCATTCATTATTCACAACAGGAAAAAGATGGAAGCAACCCAAGTGTCCACTGATGGATAAATGGATAAACAAAAGGTGATCTATATATATACACATACATATATATCACATACATGTATGCTTACACAGTGGAATATTACTGTCTTAAGAAGAAATGAAATTCTGACACATCCCACCACAAGGATAAGCCCTGAAGACCTCACGCTAAGTGAAGTGAGCCAGTCGCAAAAAGTATAATTTCACATACAAGAGGTTCCCAGAGCAGTCAAAATCATGGTAGAAAGCAGAATGGTAGTTACCAGGGACTGCTGGGAGGGGGAAATGGGGACCATGTTAATGGGAACAGAGTTTCAATTTTGCAAGATGAAGAGTTCTGCAGATGCATGGTTGTGCAACGTGAATGTACTTAGATTTGTTGTTGCCTAGTCACTAAGTGGTGTCCAACTCCCACGGACTGTATAGCCCACCAGGTTCCTCTGTCCACAGGATTTCCCAGGCAAGAATACTGGAGTGGGTAGCCATTTCCTCCTCAGGGGGAATCTTCCTGACCCAGGGATCAAACCTAGGTCCTCTTCATTGGAAGCGTGGAGTCTTAGCCACTAGACCACCAGGGAAGCTCCCTTAATGCCACTGAATCTACACTTAAAAATGGCTACATTGGTAAATCTTATGTGTATTTCATCACAATTTTAAAAACACACAGGAGGGACTGCCCTGGTGGTCCAGAGGCTAAGACCCCACACTCTCAATGCAGAGGACCTAGGTTTGATCCCCGGGCAGGGAACTAGATCCCACATGCCTCAACTAAGACCCAGCACAGCCAAATAAATAAATTAAAAGTATTTCTAAATGTTTAAAACAAATTTTAAAAACTCACATGAAGCAAAACTCTATCATGTTTATTTGCACACTTGTAATAAGACTATAAAAATATTCATGGATGGCCTTTCCTGGTGATCCAGTGGTTGAGACTCTGTGTTTCCATAGCAGAGGGCAGAGGTTGGATCCCTGCTCAGGGAGAAGATCCCACAGGCCTCTCATCCAAAAAATAAGTTCAGAAAGAAAATACACATGGAGAGGGTGGTCGCTTCTAGAATGGAGGGCGAGGGGCGGGGCTGCGGGAAGGGAGCTGTGGATACTCCCCTGTCTTTCCCCTAAAGAGAGGCAGAGAGAGAGGCAAATGTGCCCAAATGCTCCCATCTATTAAATGCATTCATTTGCTTAATTCATTCAACAAACATCTCCTGAGTACCAGAAGCTGGAGCGGGAGGGAGGGGAAGGAGGAAGAGGAGGGGGAGGACAGGGTAGATGGGAACCCTAATCAAAGAAAGAAGACTCTGAACCCTGCGACACCAAGCCCAAACGAGCGACCAGAGAGGTCTGATTTCTCGGCCACCACCTCCTGAACCAGTCGTGGAAACACGTTTCAGGAAATCCATCAATCCCTAAATTGCCCGACAACTCCCCTCCGAAGTGAAAGATGCATACTCGGCTCTCCTGGTTGATATATACACAACGATAGCATCAGAATCAATGCAGACCAGTCAGCCGCTTCTCAAAGTACCGGAGGTGAAAAAGAGCAGAATCTTTGCTAATCGCTCTCCCTAATTGAATTTAATGTTCACTGTCAAGTTTTAAAGATTAATTTCCAAACACCGCGGCAGCCTGACGTGTGTACCTTTTTTCAATTAAGTAATTAGAGATCCCAATCTACCTCCGTGGAATTAAGGAGTTAAGCTTTCCGTCAAATGTGCTAAGATGACTTGATGTATTAACTGGAGACATTCTACGTGTCCAACGAAAGTCAGATTTAGAAAGAACATGACAAGTGAAGTGTGGTGCTGTAGCTTGCTCATCCCACATTTCCTGAGGTTTCCGTGTCCTGGTTCCTGAGACGTGGCCCCACCAGCAGCTCCCCCTAGTCTCTCAAAACCTATTGCTTCAGCCACAGGTCATATTCTTCTGGTCTGTCTGCCTG